AACACAGAAGTTTTCATCACATCAACGATGAATCTTCCACGCAAACCAAAGTTAGCCATGGAGTGCCACAGGGCTCAGTGCTCGGACCTATTTTGTTCACATTATATATGCTTCCGTTAGGCAATATTATAAGGAATCATTCTGTAAACTTTCATTGTTATGCGGATGATACTCAACTATATTTATCAATCAAGCCTGATGAAATTAATCATCTAAATAAAATTCAAGACTGCCTCAAGGACTTAAAAAAATGGATGACCTTACATTTTTTGATGTTAAACATGACCAAAACTGAAGTTATTGTACTTGGCCCGAAGAATCTACGAAACAAATTATCTAAAGATATACTAATTATGGATGGCATTAATTTGGCCTCCAGTGAGACTGTAAGGAATCTTGGTGTTATATCAGGATTTATCCTCTAACACCCACATAAAATCAATTTCAAGGACCGCCTACTTCCATCTACGTAACATTGCAAAAATCAGGCATATCTTGCCTCAAAACGATGCAGAGAAACTAGTCCATGCATTTGTTACTTCAAGGCTGGATTATTGTAACTCTTTATTATCAGGGTGTACCAAGAAGTCAGTCAAGTCGCTTCAGCTGATTCAAAATGCTGCAGCTCGTGTACTAACCAGAGTTAGGAAAAGGGACCACATTACTCCTGTTCTGGCTGCCTTACACTGGCTCCCTATGGAACACAGGATAGAATTTAAAATTCTTCTTCTCGCCTACAAAGCCCTTAATGGGCAGGCGCCATCTTACCTTAAAGAACTCATTATACCCTACTGTCCTATTAGGGCATTGCGTTCCAAGAATGCAGGGTTGTTGGTTGTTCCTAGAGTCTCTAAAAGTACAATGGGAGCCAGAGCCTTTTCTTATCATGCTCCACATTTGTGGAATCAGCTTCCAGTTTGTGTTTGGGCGGCAGACACCCTATCCGTTTTTAAGAGTGCGCTTAAGACCTTCCTTTTTGATAAAGCTTATAGTTAGGGCTGATTAGATTCAGCCCTCAGTTTTGCTGATATAGGCTTAGTTTGTCGGGGGACATCTTACTTCTTCCTTCTCTCTGTCTATACCTGTGTACTCTCATGTTCCGATTAACCCAGCTTCCCTAAATTTCTTTCTTTTTGGTGTCTATATACGCCGGGATCCGGAGTCATGGATGATCCTGCGGTCCTGTGTCCTGGATCGCGAGCCCTGGATCTTGAGTCGTGGCTGTGGTCCTGGATCATAAGTCCTGGATGGATATCCTCGTGGATTCATCTTCCTATTATACACACATGCATTTCCAAACATTTGGACTACCTATGTTGCAAATGTATTATCTTTTCAATTTACACACGGCATCTATTGCACGTCTGTCCGTCCTGGGAGAGGGATCCGTCCTCTGTTGCTCTCCCTGAGGTTTCTCCCATTTTTCCCTTTAAACTGTGGGTTTTCTCCAGAAGTTTTTCCTTGTACGATGTGAGGGTCTAAGGACAGAGGGTGTCGTATTGTCATACTGATATTCTGTACAAACTGTGAAGACCACTGAGACGAATGTAACATTTGTGATATTAGGCTATATAAATAAACATTGATTGATTGATTGATTGATTGATTGATTGATTGATTGATTGATTGATAGAGTTGAGTGGAATACATGGGCAAAACAATGGAATGTCTCACTGTAATGTTCAAAGTGCACAATTATAGTACTTTAAAGATATTGTGTGAATGGATTTGTCATCCATCAACAATGGAGGACTTTACACTAATGGAATGTTATTAAGAGCTCTGTGCTTTTCATTATATGTTGTTCATTATCATATTTATTGCCACTATCCTCCTTTATTTCCAACACATATTTAAGTCTTTTTGTTGTGAATATTTTTTTTGAAATGAATTGCAAATAAACATCCACAGCTCTGAGAAAAAATCTGAGAAAATAAGAAGCTTTTCATACAATGGAAACACTTCTAGGCCAAAACACGTTCAAAAAAACTCTTCAGATAACTAGTATGGAATAAACTTGTAATATAGAGAATGCATGGACTCAATGTGGAGTAATCTGATTTTGGTGATTTATGAGGACATTTTACATATCCCAGGGAAGGGATATCGAGACAAAACGTTTTCTTTTGGGAATACATTTGAATGTATTGCTACTACAGGGTAAATACATGAGGGCATGACTCATGACTGTGAGCACTGCAGTTCCTGACCTTTTGATGCCTTAGGAGGACCACCCGATTTGAAGAAAACTAAAGAAACTGAGGAGAAAACCCTTTTAAATGTATTTAGGATTAGTTCAGGGAATTACAACTAACTGTCCTGGGAGAATGACAACATCGTCTGAGTTTATGACGACGTGGTGATGTCATCACTGAGGGGCATTGTGGGAGAACTTTTAAGTAGAGTGGGGTTATATTAAGGAAGAAGGGGATAGATTGAGGTAACTGTGTTCGACTCTTTTAATTTTAGGGGAAGAAAATAATTTTGTTTTCCATAGTTGCAGTTTGATCAGAACTATAGGTTGTTGGAAGAATCACTATTGGAATCAGTAAAGAGACATAAGTAGATTGTACAAACATCCCAAAGCTCTATTGTACTGTAGTTTTTAGTGGGGCAGTGAAGAGTTGTATTGATGGTACAAAAAAAAGCTAGATTCTCTTCATAGTTTTCAAATTAATCAGTAATACACATTTGTGTATCAAAGTTGGAATCCACATACCATTCAACATAGATTCACAGCATAATGATTTGTTTCCTGAGATTCTATCGTACCCGTTTTAAATCTTGTTTTTTGCAGTTCATGCTGATGCTCTTATGTCTTTCACCGGGAGGAAAACACCATTTTGTTTCTCTATGTATTACTGCTCTGTATAGATGACATTTAAGTCCCCATTATCCTTATCTTGTGTTATACAACTATACTAGTAAACAGGTGTTCCTGGCTCAGAAAGAACAGCACTCCTGCTATCTTACATCACTTCAAAAACATGACTACAAACATCAAATCAACAAAACGTCACTGAGCCATAAATAAACTCAGACATCACACTTTTTGCATTTCATCCAAACAGAAAAAAAGACTTTTTCAGTTCAAATCGAGTTAAGAGCTTAGCTGCAGATCACACAAACATGATGGAGCCTCAGTGAGGTCAGAAGTCAGCTGATCAGATAACAGCCTGCGTCATACAACGTTCATCTAGACTCATTTTGCTGAATTGCAGACAGATCAGCCATTAGTACCGCAGTCAGTGCATTAATAACATGATCTGTAAACCAAAATAACACCATGTAAATCTCAGTTGTTTTATCCACACATCATGTGATTATGCATATATCGATAAGTAGTTTTACAGCCATCAACCAATAGGAACACACAACCAACAAAATCCTACTTCATCCATACTCTAGCTTTTAGGAAGGAAGTTGGGATGGATAATTATAGAAGAGGCTGGGGTTTACTTCTACATACTAAGTGTCTAAGTTTCTGGTGGATGATAATCTGTGTCTAACCATAACAGAGCAGTTTTATTTCCCCACAAAGTTAAGGCACAAACAAGACTTGATAAGGTTTTATGAAAGACCATGGGATTGGGTTTTAATGACTATTTTGTCCAGGTTAGGGGACGACCAGTCTTGCTTTAAAAACAACGTTGGTTGGAAACACAAATTGAACAACAGTCTCCCTTCTTAACAAATATGTGTTGATCTGTAACACCATCACCTGACTTCCTCTTTTTCTCCAATACAATCACTACAGCCACTTCGCCAAGTAATATAAACATGTGTTGTTTTATAGAAACAACTCAGACTGTTATTCTTGTTAGGGAGACAGTCTCCATTGTTTATATTCTGGGAGAATATGCCTCAGCAGCCCTCTATGTATATCGAAAGGCTGCTGAAGACAAAATGTGCCATCTGTGCCGGTTATCGTGATGCCTGTGAGGGTAGAGGGTTCATCAGAAACACCTCCTCAATCCTAACAGCTCTTTTTTTAAATGTATTGTCTGCAATGCTGTGAAAATGTGCCTTGGCATCGAGATGGTAAAACAACAAATGCTTGGTCAAGCTGTTCTCAGCAGGCTGCATCTCAGAGACTGTTTCCCTTCGCCAAGACGACGAGACCCTGCTCCTGTCTGAGCGACATGCTTTTACAATATGGTGGAGGATATTATTTCTGCAGTCACAATACAGGAAACAATTTAACCGAGCAGTGAGGAAAGGAGCAAGAGGTTGGATGATCGTTTTGCACTGCAGCCTTTCACTGCATACTTACACAACACAGGCAAATAACACACACTGGTGGATGGTATATATACACATACGTGTCCACACACACAGCTGAGTGACAACATCTCGGTCAGGACATGGAGTGTCTTGGCTCGACTCCTCACTGCTTCGAGAATGAACATCACTCTCACGCTGCTAATCCAGTGCCCTGACAGTAATGGGCGGCAACAGTAAGCATGTTTGGCCAGCACCCAACATGCCTTTCACACACGCACGCACACACCTTCCCCAGCTGCACCCATCGTATAATCTCAGAGGCCGGGTGTGGTCCATTAGAAACTTATATCATCCCCATCACGCAGGGAAAAATGATGATGTTGACAGCTGACACACTCCTGCATACTGTCACTCAAATGCTAAACCCCTCTCCCCAATCTCCATACACCCACTCCCTCACTGCTGCACATCAAAGCACAGGCAGATGTTTACTCCCTTCAGTTGCTCTTTTTCTCTCCTCTCTTACTTCCTAATGTCTGTGGAGCATAATGCCGGCCCTTCATCCCTCCCCTACCCTCCCTCCCTCCCTTGTTTTCTCTCCTCCATCTCTCTGCATCCCTCTGCAGTGCTACGGCTCTCTGCTCTCCTCTCATACATCCTGCCGTCAGACGGAGAAAGAAAAAGGAAAACACACCCTGGATGAATAGCAGCTTGTCCAATTCCTCGTGTTCAGCCTGGAAACCAAGGCGTTAAACACACAAACATGGCCTGCTTACCTTCTCTTCTCTCTGTCTCTCCTCCTCTCTCGCTCTCTCAGTGTGTGTGTGTGTCCCTCTTGACTGCAGCCACACGGTTTCTCTCGCTCTGATTCCTCCTCCTTCCTTCTTCTTCCTCCTCCTCTGTTCTGCTGCTCTCACAAACCTGCTACTGCCGCCTCTTCCCCTCTCTTTCTCCCTCTCTCAGCTCCTCCCCTAACCACCCTCCTCCCTTTACATGCTCTGATGCTCTCTCCGGTCACAACATCAGCGGATGAAGAATGCTATAGAAAGGCTGAGATTTTGTATTTTGCTGCCTGTGAGATTCTATATCTCCATTTTGTGTTTTCATTGAATTCAAGTCACGCGGTTAGGCATTTCTTTTTCTGGAAGTGAAACCTATAGGGCCAATAACATCACGTACAGCTGTTTTGCTGCTGCACACCAGAAGATATTTTGAAACAAGATGTTCTTTTTTTTTTAAAGACAGAAGCCAATTCCGGCATATCACCTGACTAGTTTAGCACAACACACACACAAAGTAAACGCGTCAATTTAAAATGATTTGAATGATCTTACAGTTGAATTAACACCTCTCTTAAACGGTTTAAACATAAAAGCTGAACATAACCTTCATGAAGGTTAATTTGACTGCGTGTGTATACAGTGTATAAAACAATGAAAAGCAACATTAAACATGATCTAATTGATATTCTTTATATTAACAAAGGGATCATTGACATGCAAGGCATCGCTCCTTGAGATATTTTACCATATTTTAAAGTTCTTTATTTAGGGGTTTAGCATTTTTTAGGTTACGGTTTTTGTTTTTCAGCTTTACAGTTTCAGTTTCATCTCATATCAACTTAACATTTCTCTTGACTACCTGCCAAGGGCGTAGTAAGCAAATGAAAGTTGGCAAACGACATTGTGCAAATATATTGCTTCTCAGGAGTTGATGGAGACCAAAACAGAGCTACACAAAGCTGGAAAGTTGGCCTTACATTGGTCAAGTTGACAGAAACATGATTTAACGTAAAGACATATGTTGCTCTGTGTTTTGGGGATTTCAGTTAATAGGCAAATTATTGCTAACACTTTCGCCATATCAATTCTAGAAAGTGATATAGTTATGTTTAGCTTGCTATGATTCTCCTAAGTGTCCAGAAAAAGCTATTATTCTGTTTTAAAATTAAGATTTAAAATAATAATATGATTTAAAATAATAATACAGCACGCAAATCAAACTTTTAAACCTCTTTTCATTTGTTTGGATTAGAGAAAAAAGTTAAAGCTTGAAAACCAGGTAAAAATAAATAAATATCTTCAATGAATTTCCTAGTAGAAAAATAGTTGTATAGCTCTGTACATCAAATGTTATGATAACATTGCCCAAAACTGAGTCTAAGAGATGTAGTATAATTGGTCACCACTGTTAGAGTGACATCTTCTCTTTTTGGCTTGATTCCCCTCCAACATGTTGTGATGGCTAATTGGATCTGATAGGCTGCTGCTGAGAGAGAGCTCCCCTCCCCCCTCCCTGAGCCTGGCAGGACTGAAGCTGAGGCCGTGACAGCCCACCTCACACTGCAGAGCGGCTGCACCCTCTTTGTCCGCTGCATGTAGCTCATGCAGCGGACACACAGCATCTTAATGAGGGGTTCACCCCCTTACACACACACACACCCCTTCATTCACATGGTAATTGTGGGTGGTTCCAGTCTGTCTTTGTGCCTGGGTGCCCCCAGACCAAGGAGGACCTCAGGATACAGCGAAATCAACTGCATACACAATCATGCCCTGAACATGTAGTGCTCATTCAATTAAATTGAATTCAAAAGCAATCTACGTCAAACGCTCAAGTCAAATAAAAGTTACAAATAAACATATCAAGTAATAAAAAGCCTTTGAGGCCTGACCAACTGGCAGCGCAGTGACAGGCATCGGTGATGTTTGGATGGAGACAGAGGGAGTATCTCCAAACACACTAAATAATTACAGCCGAGGTCGTTATGGGTCTTTGGCCAAATTGATTACGAGGCATCTGCCCACCACCTCCTCCTCTGGGGAGCCGATGGCCCGGTGAGGGGGGGAGCAGGAGGTCCGAGCTGTCTTCTGACCTCACAAATAGGTCATAAACTAGATCTCTGTGTGTCCAGAGGGATGGAGCTGTCATCAGAAAATAGGGCACATGCTAGAATTCGGGGAGCAATTTTTTTACAGATGTGCTGTACTACAAAATAATGCTGTATCACAGACTGATGAGGCAAAGCGCTTACTTACTATTAAAAGTGCAGCAAAGCCAGACATGGCCCTTAGTGATGTTCCCCACCTCATTAACTCTGTTTCAGGTCAGTCCCTCTGGCATCTCTTCTTTATGCCTCATTATGTCTCCTGTAAGTAAAATGGGAAACACATAAATTGCCTAAAAACATATTTTATTATTCTTAAGATATTCAAAGATATCAAATGTAGGCAAATAAACTCCAAACTATTTTATTCTCCACACCCTATTGTGCCCCTGAGTCTGGACATTTGTAGTTCTTAAAAAAAGAACAGAACTAAGCTCAAATAGGAGAACACGTACTTTAGCAGGGCTCAACGCTAGCTTTTAAAAGTGGTTGCCAGGCTGGCAACCAGGAATCAGCTTTTGGTTGCCAAAACTAAAAACACCTTGTATTTTAAATAATTAAGATACTATACAGTTATACATCAACTTAATAATGAACATGTGACACAAAATAATGTTCAAATGCTTTACACTAAGTAATTAACAGAATTATTTGAAACTTAATTGGTAGTAAACTTGTCCACCCTCAATTGCTGGTATACAAAACTATAGGTTACTTACGTAACCCCAGTTCTCAGAGTAACATGAAGTGAGATGTCTCACTATGGGATGCGCCTCATCGCGGAGCAAACATAACAGCATCAATCTCATTACGCCAATCCTGATTGGCTGGTGATCTTGACGTCAGCGTCAGGGAATTCACCCCCTATAAGTAGCTTGCGCCACGACGCATGCATCATTCAAAATAAGCACCTCTTCTCGCTTCACCATAGCAAGGAGGGCCGTCTGGTGAGACATCTCACTTCATGTTACTCTGAGAACTGGGGTTACGTAAGTAACCTATAGTTCTCATTCATAACACTCCGTTCGATGTCTCACTATGGGAAATTGTAGCTCCCGTATTGTCAGCTTATCTCGAAAATCACCAAACCAACCAGAACTTAACAGGTAGAGCTCTGACTCAACCAGGTGCCCAGCACTGCTTGAGTCACACTGGGAGCAGAACGTCCAGCCTGTTAAGAGGCGGACAAAAGTGAGCGGCGAGGACCAGCTCGCCGCTGCACCAATGTCTTGGATGGGAGACATCCTGGACAGAGCCCAGGATGCAGCCAGACCCAGAGTCGAAAGAGCTCGCGGACCCGAGGGTGCCATAGAACTCTGACTCATATGGGCCCCAAAGCAATTGCTTCCACAAACCAGTGGGAGAGCCATTGCTTAGTAACAGGCTTGCCCTTATAAGGGTTAGCCCAGGACACAAGGGGTTGGTCATTATGACGAAGCACCCTTGATCTGTCCCTTTACGTGCGTAAAGCACGGGCTGGACACGGCAAATCCGGCCGCTGTTCCCCGGAGGAATACAGTGGCGGGGAGGATGCCTCAATGTCAAATGTGGTACCTGAACCAACCGCCTTAAGATAAAGGTAGGGTTGGGCTTCAACCACACTCTGTTTGCCCTGGGGCAAACTGAGTGCATGAAGACTGTACAGATAGCGCATGAGTGCCACTGGCTCGCTTGGCAGCTGCCAGGGTCAGCTTCATGTCACAATGTATTCAGATTGTACCACTCACGGGCCAGGCCCATAGAGCCAAGCGCTCTGGGTGTGGGTGAAAGATCGCCCCCCCCGCTTGGGACAGTATGTCCCTGCGTAGTGGGAGCTGCCATGGCTGCCCGCACAGCAGCTGATATATCTCCGCTGGCCAGTACATAGCTGGCCAGTGCGGAGCTATCAGGATAAGTGTGTGGCGTTGCTCTCTCACTCTGGCCAGAGTTGGGGGTATCAGAGCCAGGGGTGGGAACGCGTACAGAAGGCCCGGGGGCCAATCGTGCGCGAGTGCATCCACGCCTAACGGTGCATTTAGATCGCGCATCGAAAAGAACAGCTGACACTGAGCGTTGTCTTTCGATGCGAACAGATCCACCGCGGCTTTGCCGTAACGCACCCACAGCTGGCTCACAATCCTTGGATGTAGAGTCCAGTCTGCATAAAGTGGTATACCTCTGGACAGTAGATCTGCCCCGAGGTTCATCACTCCCGGTACGTGCGTCGCTCTCAGAGAGAGGAGACGTCTACCGCTCCATAGGATCAGTTTGCGCGCCAGTGTGTGTAACTGGAGAGAACGCAAACCCCCTTGGCGGTTAATATACGATATTGTGGTCGTATTGTCTGTCCTCACGAGGACGTGATGTCCCCTGAGGAAAGGCAGAAAGCGTTTTAGGGTGAGAAACACCGCTAAAAGCTCCAGGTAATTTATGTGCGCCCGCTGGAGGTCTCTGCTCCAGAGACTCCTCACCGGGCGACCTTCATAAATACCTCCCCAACCTGTCAGACATGCGTCCGTGGTGACCACTTTCCGTGAAAGGACAGCACCCATAGGCACACCTCGTACTAGAAAAGTCGGGTGCAGCCAGTGGCGCAGTGCCATTACGCATTTCACAGTAACCATAACTCTCCGCGCGCCATGGCGCCCTCATGTGTAAGCGTCCCAGTCGTACGACCAGGATGGCTGACGCCATGAGCCCCAGCAATCGCAGGCATGATCTGAAGAGAACATGTTTGCGCAGCTGGAAAAGAGCGAGACAAGCTCTGAAAGCTTTCACTCTTTCCGCTGACAAGCGAGCTGAAAAGGGCACTGAGTTCAGGCGTAAACCCAGGAAGAGTATAGTCTGCGCGGGGCACAACATGCTCTTCTCTGTGTTTATTATGAAACCCAGTTGAGCAGGTGCTTTACGAGGACATTTGTCTGCGTAACAGCCTCCTGCTCCGACTGTGCGAGAAGCAGCCAGTCGTCTAGGTAGGTCGCCAGGCGAATACCCTGTTGTCTTAACGGGGTTATCGCGGCTTCCGTACATCGTACAAACACCCTTGGACTGAGAGACAGACCGAAGGGGAGTACTCTGT